AAACAGGAATGTAGGATTATTCATTATTATTTGAAATTCTAATTTCTTTTGTCGTTTTTCAATCTGGAAGGTTGAAACCTTAGATGGCTTGAATATATATTATTACTGGATTGTTGGATTTCTAGGGGCAATTATTGTTGGGCAGAGACTTGAAATTTTTTGCTTTGTTAGGGCTCTTTTGGCCCTTTTTTTAGGTTCTATGATTTAACGATGGTAAGAGCATCTCCAAGACTCAAATTAGAGTGTAAATTTGAGTAAAAAACTTGATTTGGTATAGAGTACTCCAATGAGCACACTCAAATATCTGCTCAAATCTTTTAAAAAAATTTCTTATTATTTCAAAACTCATTTTTTTGTGTCATTCAAACTATAATATTTGATAAAATAAATGAAACTTTCATCTCTCCACAAATGTATAATTANAAAATATGATAAGTTAAGAAAAAAACTTCACAATCAGAGTTAGAGGACCAAATTGAAATAATCAAATCAACAAAAAATCAATTACAATGATAATTTAAGTGGTAATAAGGATGAGTGGCAAATTCAATATCTTGACAATTTCTTGAGGTTAGGTCACGAGGGATTTATTCCTAATGAATATTTATGTCTCAACATGGATGACCTACCTTTAACCGGACTGAGGAAAAGATTAGTCGAGATATGCGTACATTAATTCGAACATCACACTGACCATTGAAAAGAANAAAAAAAATGAATATGTATATAACACTATATGAAAATAAAGAAACCACCCCAGAATACTAAGATTATTCTAATCCCTTATCATTTTTTTATAAATCTAGATAAAGAAAAAAAAAATAGTTAACATGGGCATAGTCTGAAGAATACAAAAACATATATATTTTTTTTTAACNAAAAAAACAACATAAAATCCACTACCAATTAAACTCAACAATTGTTTTTTTTTTTTAATAGAGGACAACTACAACCAACACCTTAAAAAGGTGGAGGCTGCAGAGTCCATATAAACACACACACACCCTAAAACTCAACAATTGTTTGATGCTTCGATTATGGCAACATATTTGAAATATCGGGTTCACACTCCCACTCCCAACAATCAAATAAAATAAAATCCACTTTGAAAACTTAAGGGAAATTTCTCAAATATTGAAAACTGAGGGGCCGTCTTGGTTTGAAATTTTATTGCATTTCTTGATGGATTTTGCATGGGTAAGACAGGAATTTTGTTTTCTAAAATATGTTGACATCATCAAAAATGGACGGTTAATCAAGCGGAATTTAACATTAGGGGTCAATATGAAACAAATAAAACCCTTTGGGGTGCATGTAACTAAATGACAAACCTAGGGGGATCCAAATAGATTACCATTAAATGATAAAACCCCACTCTTGTCCGCGTTTGGGGGTTTCTTCTCTCTCTCCTCCCTCCGATAACAATCATGCAAATCTATTCACTAAAAATTTGCCGTCATCAATGCTCAAGAGGCTGATATATCACATTGGAATGGGAAAAATGTTGTGACAAATCCAATTGATTTCTAACCAGGGGGAGTATCACATCAAAATACATGACATATGCACATTGTACTCTTTTTCTTTCGTCTAAGTTTTGTCATATTGGGTTTTTCTAAAAAGGTTTTAATCAGGCAACATTAGTACATCCAATGCTATTCTAAAATTTATCTAAATATGTACTTTTTTCCTTTGCTAAGTTTTTTTCCACATGATTTTCCTAACAAAGTTTTAAGAAGGCATATTATCTTAGCATAATAGTCATCCAAGAGAGAGTGTTATAAATATATTGTATATACATATAGATGAACTCTTGCCTACCAATTTAAGAGGTGTTAGTATTTGACTCTATAACTCTGCCTAGAGTTAATATTGTATTTGATGACTATTATTATTTAACGTCTATAAAAAGAAGTCCTCGTCACATTGAGAAATACACAAGTTGAGAAATTTAATCTCTAACATATATATATTCTCTATATTCTCTTTATAAATTCATATAATTCTCTTGCTATCATAATCCAATTTGATTATGCCAACATATTTGAAATACCTGTTTCACATTCCCACTCCTAACAATCAAATAAAATAAAATCTACTTTGAAAATTTAAGGGCAATTTCTCAAATATTGAAAATTGAGGGGGCGTTGTTTAGGAATTAAAATTTTAAACCTATTCGGTTGGTTTGAAATTTTATTGAATTTTTTTATGGATTTTGCACGGATAAGATAGGAATTTTGTTTCCAAAATATGCTGACATCATCAGAAATGCACGGTCAATCACACGAAATTTAATGTTAGGGGTCAATATGAAACAAATAAAACCCTTTAGGGGTATATCTAACTAAGTGACAAACCTAGGGGAACCGAATATATTATACCCTTAAATGATAAAACCCCACTCTTGTCTGCGTCTCGGGCTAGGAAGGGTCTCTCTCTCTCTCTCTCTCTCTCTCTCTCTCTCTCCGCCCTTTTGAGTTATGTTAAGTGCATCTTTTTTTCTGAGATCATTATCAAGTAATCAATCGAATCTCCATTGAAATTCAATTCAATAAAATCAAAAGCGTAAATAAAAAAGAAGAAAGACGAAGATGCAAGGAGGAGTCGAAGAGCTCAATGTAGAAGAACTCGCTTCAAATCTCTCTACTTACAAAGAACAGCTTCAGCAGGTACCTACTATTCACGCACAATTGAAATCTTTTCATTTAATTTTGCAAATGAAACTCGATGTAAAAAGAATATATATGCTTGAATTCAGGAAAGCGTAATAAACAGGAATGTAGGATTATTCATTATTATTTGAAATTCTAATTTCTTTTGTCGTTTTTCAATCTGGAAGGTTGAAACCTTAGATGGCTTGAATATATATTATTACTGGATTGTTGGATTTCTAGGGGCAATTATTGTTGGGCAGAGACTTGAAATTTTTTGCTTTGTTAGGGCTCTTTTGGCCCTTTTTTTAGGTTCTATGATTTAACGATGGTAAGAGCATCTCCAAGACTCAAATTAGAGTGTAAATTTGAGTAAAAAACTTGATTTGGTATAGAGTACTCCAATGAGCACACTCAAATATCTGCTCAAATCTTTTAAAAAAATTTATTATTATTTCAAAACTCATTTTTTTGTGTCATTCAAATCATAATATTTGATAAAATAAATGAAACTTTCATTTCTCCACAAATTTATAATTAAAAAAAAATGAATATGTATATAACACTATATGAAAATAAAGAAACCACCCCAGAATACTAAGATTATTCTAATCCCTTATCATTTTTTTATAAATCTAGATAAAGAAAAAAAAAATAGTTAACATGGGCATAGTCTGAAGAATACAAAAACATATATATTTTTTTTTAACAAAAATGGAAGATTGAAGAAATAAAATGATAAATTTTTTAAATTTGTGGGTACCGAAGGCTTAAAATTTCAGGAAGAATCGGTGGTTTGAAATTGTACAACTGATAGTGTTTAACTCAAAAAAATAAAAGAANTTGAAATATCGGGTTCACACTCCCACTCCCAACAATCAAATAAAATAAAATCCACTTTGAAAACTTAAGGGAAATTTCTCAAATATTGAAAACTGAGGGGCCGTCTTGGTTTGAAATTTTATTGCATTTCTTGATGGATTTTGCATGGGTAAGACAGGAATTTTGTTTTCTAAAATATGTTGACATCATCAAAAATGGACGGTTAATCAAGCGGAATTTAACATTAGGGGTCAATATGAAACAAATAAAACCCTTTGGGGTGCATGTAACTAAATGACAAACCTAGGGGGATCCAAATAGATTACCATTAAATGATAAAACCCCACTCTTGTCCGCGTTTGGGGGTTTCTTCTCTCTCTCCTCCCTCCGATAACAATCATGCAAATCTATTCACTAAAAATTTGCCGTCATCAATGCTCAAGAGGCTGATATATCACATTGGAATGGGAAAAATGTTGTGACAAATCCAATTGATTTCTAACCAGGGGGAGTATCACATCAAAATACATGACATATGCACATTGTACTCTTTTTCTTTCGTCTAAGTTTTGTCATATTGGGTTTTTCTAAAAAGGTTTTAATCAGGCAACATTAGTACATCCAATGCTATTCTAAAATTTATCTAAATATGTACTTTTTTCCTTTGCTAAGTTTTTTTCCACATGATTTTCCTAACAAAGTTTTAAGAAGGCATATTATCTTAGCATAATAGTCATCCAAGAGAGAGTGTTATAAATATATTGTATATACATATAGATGAACTCTTGCCTACCAATTTAAGAGGTGTTAGTATTTGACTCTATAACTCTGCCTAGAGTTAATATTGTATTTGATGACTATTATTATTTAACGTCTATAAAAAGAAGTCCTCGTCACATTGAGAAATACACAAGNTGCTTAGAGTTAATATTGTATTTGATGACTATTATTATTTGAGGTCTATAAAAAGAAGTCCTCGTCACATTGAAAAATACACAGGTTGAGAAATTTAATCTCTAACATATATATATTCTCTATATTCTCTTTATAAATTCATATAATTCTCTTGCTATCATAATCCAATTTGATTATGCCAACATATTTGAAATACCTGTTTCACATTCCCACTCCTAACAATCAAATAAAATAAAATCTACTTTGAAAATTTAAGGGCAATTTCTCAAATATTGAAAATTGAGGGGGCGTTGTTTAGGAATTAAAATTTTAAACCTATTCGGTTGGTTTGAAATTTTATTGAATTTTTTTATGGATTTTGCACGGATAAGATAGGAATTTTGTTTCCAAAATATGCTGACATCATCAGAAATGCACGGTCAATCAAACGAAATTTAATGTTAGGGGTCAATATGAAACAAATAAAACCCTTTAGGGGTATATCTAACTAAGTGACAAACCTAGGGGAACCGAATATATTATACCCTTAAATGATAAAACCCCACTCTTGTCTGCGTCTCGGGCTAGGAAGGGTCTCTCTCTCTCTCTCTCTCTCTCTCTCTCTCTCTCCGCCCTTTTGAGTTATGTTAAGTGCATCTTTTTTTCTGAGATCATTATCAAGTAATCAATCGAATCTCCATTGAAATTCAATTCAATAAAATCAAAAGCGTAAATAAAAAAGAAGAAAGACGAAGATGCAAGGAGGAGTCGAAGAGCTCAATGTAGAAGAACTCGCTTCAAATCTCTCTACTTACAAAGAACAGCTTCAGCAGGTACCTACTATTCACGCACAATTGAAATCTTTTCATTTAATTTTGCAAATGAAACTCGATGTAAAAAGAATATATATGCTTGAATTCAGGAAAGCGTAATAAACAGGAATGTAGGATTATTCATTATTATTTGAAATTCTAATTTCTTTTGTCGTTTTTCAATCTGGAAGGTTGAAACCTTAGATGGCTTGAATATATATTATTACTGGATTGTTGGATTTCTAGGGGCAATTATTGTTGGGCAGAGACTTGAAATTTTTTGCTTTGTTAGGGCTCTTTTGGCCCTTTTTTTAGGTTCTATGATTTAACGATGGTAAGAGCATCTCCAAGACTCAAATTAGAGTGTAAATTTGAGTAAAAAACTTGATTTGGTATAGAGTACTCCAATGAGCACACTCAAATATCTGCTCAAATCTTTTAAAAAAATTTATTATTATTTCAAAACTCATTTTTTTGTGTCATTCAAATCATAATATTTGATAAAATAAATGAAACTTTCATTTCTCCACAAATTTATAATTAAAAAAAAATGAATATGTATATAACACTATATGAAAATAAAGAAACCACCCCAGAATTCTAAGATTATTCTAATCCCTTATCATTTTTTTATAAATCTAGATAAAGAAAAAAAAAATAGTTAACATGGGCATAGTCTGAAGAATACAAAAACATATATATTTTTTTTTAACAAAAATGGAAGATTGAAGAAATAAAATGATAAATTTTTTAAATTTGTGGGTACCGAAGGCTTAAAATTTCAGGAAGAATCGGTGGTTTGAAATTGTACAACTGATAGTGTTTAACTCAAAAAAATAAAAGAAAAATTTGATGGGTAAACTTAGGGTTTATATAGTATGAAAGATGGGTGAGATTAGGGTTTTGAAAAATACAAGAAATTAAGAAAATGGAAGATGAAAAGCAAAAAATTTACCTACAGGCCTTCAAATGATTTGTGAAAGTTTCGGTGGTAGTTGGCGATGGAAGTAGTGTCGTAGAGAAATGCAAGAAGAGACAGAGAACAAGTAGTTAAAGAAGTCTTTTAGTTTTGAATTGGTTAAAAAGTTACCGTTAGAAATTTGATATAGAATTTGAGTCTCCTTCAATTTGGGTCCAGAACAAGTTTTGTCTTGATTTGGTATGGGTTTGAGTCCAAGGTTAGAGAAGTGTTTAGGTCATTTTGACTCAAATTTAAATTTGAGTCTACATTTGAGTCAAGGTTGGAGATGCTCTAACTAGGTTAGTTGGTTAGTGGTGTTTTAAGGTAGAATTTATTGTTTTTTAAATGGTGTTGCTGTAATTTGTAGTAGTGAAAAATATTGTCACTGTCATATCTTAGGGTCGACTAATCTTGGTGACATTACAAGAAGACTTGCGAAGATGGCCCTGTGCCGCCGGGATCATCAGATAGGGATCATCATACTCACTGACATGCGGTGGATAGAGTTTCCAGTCTCCTAGATTTTTTGCATTGTGCTTGTTGGTGAGTCATGTGTTTTCTAAGTGACCATATGGCCTGGCAATACAAGCAAAAGGCTTATGCATAGAAGTTATACCATCATTTTTCTTTGACCAGAAACACAAAAGATTTTATTAATCGTAAAAGCATTACAAGAAGCAGAAGGACAAGTAGTCCATCCTGGAAGTGACATGGAACTCTAGTTTTGCTTTGACTTTTTTTTTTTGGATTGGGAGCTGGAGTGAGTGGACACTTTGCCATGTCTCCTATACGACGTGACTATATTGTGTTTGTTCCTTCTATTTTTTGGAGAGGATAAGGTACTGTAGAACTCTTTCAATAGGGTTATATGGGATAAAGATTGCACAACATGGTGCTTAGGGTTCATCGTAAACTGCATTCCTAATGAAATAATTGTCAAGGCACCTTTGAAGATTCTTGTTTTCTCCTTTCATGGGCCACAGCTTTGGTGGCTATGCTAACTATGGACAGTTTAAGGTTCAGAGGTAACACTATTGCTATGGACAGTTTGAGGCTCAGAGGTAACACCACCACTAATTGATGTGGTATGTTTAGAGGGGTGAAGAATGTCAGTGGATTCTAAAGATAGATTTTTAGAAGATATTTAAGAGGTATAGCAGGTGATGCCCTTGTCTCATGTGGTGTTCATGGAGGGGGAAAATAGAAGATCTTTTGAGATTGAGGATATATCAACTCCCAAGCTTTTAAGAATTTATTTCTTCGCTGTTAGAGATTTATTTTGGAGGAAGCAGATTCCTTGGAATGTGATTTATCTGTGTCTTTTGGTGGTTTGTCATGTAGAGTAAGAAAAAAATTACTTTGTTGGAGATATATTTTGGAGGAAGCAGATTCCTTGATATTCGGGATTCACCCATACCTTTGGTGGTTTAGTGTTTTTCTTACCTTTACTTGTTCCACAGAAAATGAAAAAACAGCTTAAGTACATTTCTAAACAAGACTTTGTTCTTCTATTACTTTGTTGGACAGAGTTGCTTTTGTTTTCAAGCTAGCTATCTTTGGAGTCTTGGGCACCAGTCCCTCAGTACGCACAGCTAGTTTATGATGTGCACTTTATCCAATTCAAAAGTTGTTTTTAGTATCTTGTGGCTTATGATGCAAGTTGTTTGGCTGCCCTATTTTTTCATGGATTTTATTGGTTTCCCCCACGCCTGCGCTCGTGCCCTGGGGCCCAGGGGGGCTTTGTTTTTCATTCTGCTTTTATTTGTGTTTATTTTAGTAATGTTCTCTCTTTTTTTTATGGATCAGGTTCGAAAACTTTTGGATGATGACCCTGGAAACTCTGAATATGCAGACATGGAAAAGGAGCTTGGAGAGGTGATCTTTGCACAATTTGATCTTATTTAGTTTTTTCCCCTTGAAATTTTTCTTTGACATTTTATTTATTTATCCCTGAACTTTGTAGAGTTGAGCCCCTGGAGATTGTCATGTAGAGTAAGCTTCTTATCATGTCTTGAAAAAATGGGGTTGATTCCATTGGATGTAAAAAGGATCACAAACCAGATAATAGGTGATTACTTGGTTGGTTGACATGTCATGCATCCGTCTCCCCCGCCCTCTCTAGCATACACACACACACACAAATGTTGCCCAAACAAGCAGCATCCATTCATATTCTAATGATAAAGAGATCTGTTTTTAACCTTGGGTTCTAAGGGGGAGGATTCTATTTCTGGAAAACAAGATTCAATGAGAACTGAGGAGATTTTACAAAATTATTGGAGCTATGGACTCTACAAGATGTCCGTCACTTGTATCTTGGTTCATGTGCAGGTGTTCTATTTGTCGTGATGTCCAGCCTGCTTCTCTGTCTCGGGATTTCAGATGTCCACACGAACATTTTAAGTTCGAAATTCAACAAGATTTTGGTCTTTGTTATACATATAATTGCTTTAATTGATTTGGATTTGGCTTTTTTATTTTGGACTGTAGGTGATTGCTTTGACAGAAGAACTTCTGGCAACTGCAAAACAAAATGATAATTCCGGACTGGATATTCAAACAAGTTCTGATGCATCTCACAGTTTGCGCCATTCTGCTGGTACCTCTCCATATAACAGGGTAAATCTCCTCTAATTGTATTCTACTGTATCAGTTTAATTTTTAAATTAGTAATGTATACTTATGATGAGTGGAAGATTCACTTGAGGTTTTCTACGAAAGCAGCACAGAAGTATGACTTAAGGTCAAACTTTGGTAAGAATAATAGTTTGCTTCATGCGGAGGAATAATGGAATGTTTTCCGTTTGCATAAAATAGTTGAAGAGAAAAAATCTTATTTGAGATATACTTATGTTCAAACTGAGAAGGAATACTTTTCATTTGGTTCTGGTTGTCCCTCTATCTAGGGATGGAAAAACAACTTTCAATTTCCTTTACACTTTCTGGAGTTCAACATCTTTATGAAGGGTCTGGGTTTCAATTTCCCCTACTCTCCTTGGTTTGGGGTGTTGGAGGATGGGAGTGTACATTATGTGCAGTTGGCTTTTGAGTTTGGACATGAAATATTTTATTTTCTTTTTGATGGAAGAGAAGACATAATTTTCGGGCTTAAATTAAGTCTACAGTGGAAAAGATGAAAAATATTTTTCAAAGAAGTGAGATACAGTATAGCAGCCTTAGCATAAAAAAAAAAGTAGGAATTAGGGAGTCTTCCTAGACAATTCCACCCCCCTTCCCCTCAAAATAAAAATCTTACTTGGCAGCTTCAAATACCTGAACTATGACACAAAAAAAAATGTCAGGTACCTAATACTATCCACGTGTACATTCTGTTGTTGTAGTTGATGTAAGACAGCACCTTGAACAGTAAGTCAGGTATGTAATGCACAGCTGCCAATGGATCTTCCACTTATATAATTACAAAATGTTATTACTATATTGCTGTTCCTTTTCCTTTGTTATCTTGTTATTGGTCACTACTCACTGCTGCTGCTGGAATGTTTTGCATTGGCTCATTTGTGCTTCTTGCTGAAGATATTCTTTCAGTTTTTATTTTTTTTAAATGGGAAGTTGTTTGTCTCCATATGATATACTATGTTAAAAAGCTAGTTCATTTTTTGTTACATATATATTTGGATATAAGCTGGTACTAAATTAATCTATCTACTGTACATATTGTGAAACACTCTCTATTTCTATGCTTATATGCATATCTTTGTTTACATTTCACATGTGCCATGTGTGTGTGTGTGTGTGTGTGTGGCTTAATTCCGTTGTTTTCTGCAGGACTCACGAACCATATCTGATCACTTTGACAAGTTTCCTGTTGGCACTAAAGTTCAAGCTGTTTGGAGTGAAGATGGAGAGTGGTATGTATTTTCAGATAGAGGAATCCAACTGATTTATCAATTTTTTCTTTTTCATTTGCTTTACTTTTGGGTTCTTTTGTCTGTTTTTGATTTAGTTGACTGTTCAGGTATGACGCGACAATTGAGGCGCTTACTCCAAATGGGTACTATGTACGCTATGATGGATGGGGTAATAATGAGGAGGTATGAGTTCTGTTGGAGAATGTTGGAATTATACAAGTCTAGTTTTGATTCACTTTAGTTTTCAAATTCCATTCACCCGTTTTTTCCTATCATGTGCCATTTGTTTTTGCTGAAGCACATCAAGTGGCTGTATTTATGTTTATTTCTTTCCTGGGGGTTGGATGTTTGGGATGCAGGAATGGTTAGGAAAATATTATACCCTTCTTATTGCATTGCTTGTATAAGTCTACAGACTACTGAATTTACAATATAATCGTCATCTAAGTTACAACTAATATATCAAGTAGTAGTTAAATTGGACTTATTTTACTGAATGGTTAAAGCTTCCATGCAGTGTCTTGAAAAGTTCTCATCTATGTGAAAATTTTTATTTTAAAAAGGCCAGGAAGGGATCATAAATTTTTTTCGTGGTGTGAATGCACTGATTGCACGTCCCCTAAAATGGTTGGAGTCCAAAAAGGCTTGTTGTTTTGGGACAGAGGGAGTAATTATTGCACATTTCTAATCATGTGGAGTAAGCAAATAAAAAGTGGTTGAAACCTTGCTTGTACAGNGGTTAAAGCTTCCATGCAGTGTCTTGAAAAGTTCTCATCTATGTGAAAATTTTTATTTTAAAAAGGCCAGGAAGTGATCATAAATTTTTTTCGTGGTGTGAATGCACTGATTGCATGTCCCCTAAAAAAGTTGGAGTCCAAAAAGGCTTGTTGTTTTGGGACAGAGGGAGTAATTATTGGACATTTCTAATCATGTGGAGTAAGCAAATACAAAGTGGTTGAAACCTTGCTTGTACGGTAAAGTAGTCATCAACCTTGTTTCACCATTGGTCCCTTAGTGGGGGCCTGTGAGTTTTCCCTTTCTCCTTTGTGCAAATGCTCAAGGGAACTAAAAATGCTGCTCAAGAGTCTGTTTCTAGGTAACCATTGTAATCACTGTTGTGGTTGTTAACAACTCTTACTTAATTGTCCACTAGTTGGGTTTTTTACAATCTTGTANAACTAAAAATGCTGCTCAAGAGTCTGTTTCTAGGTAACCATTGTAATCACTGTTGTAGTTGTTAACAACTCTTACTTAATTGTCCACTAGTTGGGTTTTTTACAATCTTGTAATTGCTGCCACAACGGGCCTTGCTGGCTATCAATGTGGGGCCATATCTTCCTCTGTTGTCTCTGCCATATGTGATATCTTCCCTCATGTCATGACCTCAGCTATCTTTTGTTACTGTCACAACCACCTCTGTCTCTTTGCTTACATCTCTGCTGTAAATGCTACTTCCACCATGATTTACCATCAATGTCATCGTTGCCACTGTTGCTATTGCCTGTTGCAAATCATCCGTCTCATCTAAATCATTTTCATATTCATCTTTCCACTTCTACTAACAACTCCTTTTGTTGGCACTTAACAAGTGNTGCCATATGTGATATCTTCCCTCATGTCATGACCTCAGCTATCTTTTGTTACTGTCGCAACCACCTCTGTCTCTTTGCTTACATCTCTGCTGTGAATGCTACTTCCACCATGATTTACCATCAATGTCATCGTTGCCACTGTTGCTATTGCCTGTTGCAAATCATCTGTCTCATCTAAATCATTTTCATATTCATCTTTCCACTTCTACTAACAACTCCTTTTGTTGGCACTTAACAAGTGTGCTTGACCTTTTTAAAAAAAGCTTAAACGACCAGGAATCTATGATTTCAACCTCTTCCTGACAATTCAACAAAACCCAACCTAGCGTCTCATCTTTCTAAGTATAAACAGAAATGTGAATATTCAGATTACCTAAAAGTAGATTCACATGCTTTAGGGTTCTTTGGTTACACCACCTTTGGCACAAAGTAATAAAACCTCTTGCTTGTCAAAAGCTGTTATTAGTTACCCAGATTCATCCGCACTTATCCCAATTTCTTCAATGTTTCTATATGCAGAATCATTTGAAGCATTATACATTAGTGATTGTTGTTACCAGGTGGATCCTGCTAACATTAGGCCAGTTGAAGAAGGGGCTGTAAATTCTCTGTTGGAAGCTGAAAGGGAAGCTGAGGCCACAAAACAAGCTCTTAAACGGAAGGTTGCTCAAGCTGCTGCTACTGACTTCCAGTCACGGAGTTTACCAGCAAAGCTTCGTATTGAGCCTGACGACCCTGAAGATGTGGTATGTTTCATTTACATTTTTGGGTCATTGTCAAGGCAACAAATTATATATCTTATAAAAGCCAGGGCCTCAGGGTGTGGACTGCTGTTTTTCTTCTATTTTCTACAATTATTGCGGCTCCCCCATACCTTAAACAACCCAACCCATAACCCACTTTTTTGGGGGTGGGAGCAACTGACCATTTAAGCCAGCCACTTATGTAATGTACAATTCTGAAAATTTTGTCGCTAATACCAAGTACAAGCTTGGTCTGAAACCAGAATTCCAGAGATCGCTTTTGGTGAACTGGAATTAAGGGCACTCAGTTCAAGATTTTAGTCCAGACTGTTATGAGAAAATAGAGTTGCACTCTTACCTTTTCCTGTTAGGTAGGCCCAGGTATTACTGATTAGTCGGATGATCCCATCCCTCTGGCCTATCATTTGTTGGTCGATCCGGCTGGCAGTTCCTGCTTCTCCGCGTCTCTATGGGGGGTCCTTTTATACAAGTTTGCTGCTAGGAGTACCTCTCCTCTAGTCAAATCAATAAAAAATAGAAGTTTACTGACCTGGCTCTTCAATCGATGATCCACTGCTCCCTCTTAGTTGCGGATACCCATGCTTTGATTTCCTCCAATAGGGGTTTCCAATTCTTAGTTGTAGCCAACTGAGAATATAGTTTGGTGAATTAGCTAAAACTAGATTTGCTTTCACATTTATTTGATAATTTCCAGGCTCTTAGTCACCTTGTCATTTATGTGCTTCTCTACATTCACTTCTGGTGAACATGATATCTAGGTTGTAGTTACTTAGTCAACTTGTTGGCTATGTTTTTTCAATACTGTTTGGTTTGTGATTTTTGAATTTTTTTTATNTCAATCGATGATCCACTGCTCCCTCTTAGTTGCGGATACCCATGCTTTGATTTCCTTCAATAGGGGTTTCCAATTCTTAGTTGTAGCCAACTGAGAATATAGTTTGGTGAATTAGCTAAAACTGGATTTGCTTTCACATTTATTTGATAATTTCCAGGCTCTTAGTCACCTTGTCATTTATGTGGTTCTCTACATTCATTTCTGGTGAACTTGATATCTAGGTTGTAGTTACTTAGTCAACTTGTTGGCTATGTTTTTTCAATACTGTTTGGTTTTGTGATTTTTGAATTTTTTTTATTATAATTCTTACTTCATTTTACACTGGCTGATCCTCATATTTACATGGAACAGAAAGTTGCTAAGCGTAAGAAGATACATTTGTATAAGTCAAAGATGCGGATAGAGCAACTTGAGGTTACACAGAATAAGAGGCAGAATGATTGGCAGCAATTCCAGACAACTAAAGGCCGGGCCAAGAAGGTACGTTTGACTGCCCCTTTCGCACTTGTGAAAACCATTAGTTGGTCATTTTTATAGTCAACTTGATCACCATCTATATATATGCTTGTAAAGCATACACACATATGTAAGCACTAATCAATTGCTGTCTTTGAAATTGAGTGGGAATGATAAAATTATTACTTCGAATTTTGGCTAGCAGGTTCTACTAATAGAATTGCCAAGAACATCAAACATGGCTTCTCTGAGAATTACACTTCAACTGCCCAATCAACAGTCAAAAAATACAGTCCAAAATTCAAAACCAGTCGAGCTGCTTATGCTTCCCCATAGCCTTGCCCTGCTTGTCCCTTCCTAGACCCCTTCCATTGGTTGCCTACAAGTTGGGGAACATTACTTTCGCAGTTAATTGCAATATACTAGAATCACAATAAAGTAGAAAGTACAATTATAATCACCATAATGTCATAGACTTGAAATTGTACTTGCTCATTACTATTTTGAGTTACAGTGCTTCCCTGAGATGCTGAATGTTGAGCCCCAATAACTATCTTGGTCAATATTCTGTATGTTATACTGTTTGTGATTATATTCAAAGAGCAAGTCAAGACAAATTACAACTTATATATGTCAATTTTCAGAAATAAAAGCCAATTACAAATATGAAAAAACAACAAATCTTTCACTAAACGAAAAAATAAAACCATTCTCAGTAAAATGTAATACTGAGAAAAGAACAAAACCATATTCAAAAGAAACAAATTTAATATTACATCTAATCTCAAGTTGTTGAAATCTCTTTCTTTGGAAATAAAATATAACTTAGAAAAAATATTAATTAGCTTTTGGATCAACAAAACCGCAAGTAAATCATAGACGATTGGCATTGAAATGTAATGAAAACTAGTGAAAACAATAACATGAATACAATAAGAAGGGTAACCAACTGGTATGAAACAGAATAGGACAGAGGTAAAATTTGTAAGTTTTTCAACCCACAGGGAAGGGCAAGCCAACTCGAGGACCAAAAATTGCAACAAGCTATGAAAAAGGAAAAGAATGTTACGAACAGGATTGCCACTAAACACCAATGATCTGACATACCCATATCTACTTGNAATACAATAAGAAGGGTAACCAACTGGTATGAAACAGAATAGGACAGAGGTAAAATTTGTAAGTTTTTCAACCCACAGGGAAGGGCAAGCCAACTCGAGGACCAAAAATTGCAACAAGCTATGAAAAAGGAAAAGAATGTTACAAACAGGATTGCCACTAAACACCAATGATCTGACATACCCATATCTACTTGGTTTTCCATATCAAAAAGTCAAGGATATATATACAAAAATATACGACTTTTCATACAACAAAAGAATGGTTTTCCATATTAAAATAATTAGGGTAAAAAAAAAGGTTTTTCCGTACAACAAAAATTAGGGTTTTCCATACAAACAATTAAGGTCAAGAAATTACTGTTTTTGTTCAAAAAATTAGGGTTTCTGCCCCTATTTGATGACAAGATCTTCTTTGAGTCACTGTATTTAATCGATGATGGTTTGATCTTACGGAAGCACAAACGAATCAAACCTCTTAAGATGGGATCTTCTTCGACTCCAAGGATTCAATCAAGTCAAAGACTACTTACCTTCTTAGAGAACAAGTGAATCGATTGATTGAATCTCCTCAGCCTACCCTCTCTCTCTCTCTCTCTCTCTCTGAACCAAGCGACAGTACAAGGGTATTGGTTCAATGACTTACTCTAGTTGCTTAACTTTATATTGTCTGGTTAGTGTGTCAAATACCACTGTTAAACACAGGTTAGTTGTATGTATACAGTACATAGTGTATAATACACATAAAATGTCTGATGGGCATTTTAGTAAAATCATTATCTTTGTTAACGCTGTCAGCGGCAACAATTGACAAGGGGTGACTGGGAAGTTTCAGAATATACAACGGGTGTCTCTGAAGATATGGTTAATTACAGGGAGTGACCGGGGTGTGGATGTAATTTTCCCAAAAAAGAAAGTGGAAGCCTCTTCAAAGTGTTTGACACAGAGGTTATTTAGAAATGCTTGTGTTCAACACCTGTCGGACATGGACACAACTCCACACATTAGAAGTGGCCAGGCTTTGTAGTTAGCCCATTACTGGCTTTGTCATCCTTGGGTGGCCAGTATTGGGTGGGAGTTACTACTGGATGTGGAGCACTAAACAGCTACAGGGATGCTTTCAATCTTGGACCATGAATTTGTGCACTTGTTGACCTGAACTGTTGCTATAGCAAGAAAGAATGACTCATGAACAGTTGAGTTTAGATAATTACAATCTTTATATATACCTCATTTTCTTTCTAGTTTATAAGTTTACATGCAGATTTTCAGTGAACTACTTTTGTTTGACCACTTCTACTCACTTCTATTAGCAATTACCTTTTCAGTAGCACATCACACATTATTAAACCAAAACGAATATGAATTTAGATCATGGATCATTTATACAAGGGCCATTGGGTAATTAGCCTGGTGCATATAACGNATTAAACCAAAACGAATATGAATTTAGATCATGGATCATTTATACAAGGGCCATTGTGTAATTAGCCTGATGCATATAATGCTTCTTCAGATATTTAGCTGGTACATTTGCACAAACTCCTATAGATATATATATAGGTTTTAGATGCACAGAGATTTATTTAACACTGGGATCCAAAAATCTGAGGTCATTTTTGTTACAATGCTGCTTTTTAGAGAATAAAAAATTGTATAACCTTTGAGTTTTTGTGGATATATCTCTGGGAAACTTTTTACCCTTTTCTTTTCAGCTAGCAAAAATTGTCTTTCTGGATCGATATGGCATTTTAGCACATTTTATTTCTTAATTCTACTCTCTGAATCTGTAGTTCTTTTTTTTTTTTTTCTCACTTTACTTCCATATTTAATTTCTTCTTTATTTTCCAGATTGGTTTCTTCTCAGGGCGCAAGCGAGAGAGCATCTTCAAATCCCCAGATGATCCATTTGGAAAGGTAGGCGTGACTGGAAGTGGAAAGGGTTTGACAGATTTTCAGAAGAGGGAAAAACACTTGCATCTCAAGGGAGCAAACGCTGAGTCTATTGATGATTAAATGATTTTGTTGCTATTTTTTGTCAGTTCGTATATTCTGCATTTTTGGCCTCACTTGTGGCCAACCGGTTTCAAATGGAGTTCAGCACTCGCACATAATTCATGGTACAAGGTTATGGCTTTTCCTTCTTCAGCCAAGTTATTCGGATGTCAGATTGTAGATCTCTTGTTGGTACTTTCTGCGGAGGCAAATAATTCTTTCTTCTGCTCTGTATGTTAGTTCAGTGAGATAATAATCACATTTTCTTCCGATTTAGTCATGCTGTTGAGGAGGTGCTGAAAAGAAAGGAGGGCGTATTATTGTAGCATCATGATCCTTTGTACATACTAAGCTACTTCTTGCTGTAAGGTGAAAAATACCCTCCTATGGTTTTTTTTTCCTCTCTTTTTTGGGGATAATGGTGAATGTTTTGTAGCATGTGTACTTTAGGTTCATTTTCAACTTGAACTTTGGATTCGTATAATCATTTCCAAATTATGCGTGTTGGGTAAATATGGATTCTCTTGCAATAGACAAACTTAGGACCACGAGATAGTAACCCTTGATGTCTGTTCGTATGAGCTAGCTGGTNTTTCAACTTGAACTTTGGATTCGTATAATCATTTCCAAATTATGCGTGTTGGGTAAATATGGATTCTCTTGCAATAGACAATTTCTCCATGAATTTGCAGATCGATCGGTGTGAAAGATATTTTAGGGGTGTAGAAAGCAGACAGCTCAAAAAAAGGGTGGCTAAAGGGTGAAAGGAGGATTTTGATTAAGAGATGCAATGGACTTAGGAGGTTGTTCACTTCTTTTTTAATGACCAAAACTTTCTTGCTCTTGGAATTGGAAACCTGTGTAGAGCTGTTTAATTGATCAGTAAACCAAACATAAATCTCTTCATTAACATCATCACAAGTCTATGTAACTTGCACATCAAAAAGCAAATTTTCATTGTGGATTAACAGCATTTTACCCCCATTAACATTTTAGAAATTATACTTGGTCCCTTCAAAGATTAAAAGTCTCATATTGATCTTTTGATTGTAAAAAGTTCAAAGAGTAATATCTCCTAATAACTATACGGTATTTGGTTGCTTTGTCTATAATAACATTAAATGACACTTAAAGCTTTTAGGTTTTCTAAACTAAATGTTTATTTATTGAGTTAAATTTTTACATGGAGAAAAATTATGGTGCAATGTGAGCTTTTTAAGTTTTGAAGGGGTTAACGAGTAATAGAAAAATGCTCAACCACGCAATAGATATCATAGAAGTTAAAACTCTAAGAATTAACCCCCTCTAAAATGAAATAAATGACAAATGTAAGCCACTATAGTAGTTGCAAATAAAAAAAGATTCAATTGTCGGTTAGGTTGGACTATTTTTTTACTCCTTGCTTTTAATTTTTTTGGACTAAGCATTGCTCGGAACATAATATGTCTTGATATATTTAACGATTTTCAATTCATGTTAGAATATTTTTAATAATTTCTCGATTTTTACTCATTTTCATAGTCTCTCAATTTAGACTAGTTAAAATACAAATCCTAATTTGAATCTCTACATTTGGAGATCAAAACTCACTCTCTATTCTATTATTAATTAATAAAAAAAAAATAGCACCTATATGTTTTTTGTTTGAACAATCACATATGCTCTTATAGAATTATTTATCTTTATATAGAAAAATAATTGAAGTTGCATATATCCCTAAATTGCTTTTTTTTACTTTATATTTGCAAAATAAAAAATAAGAAAAATTTGGAGGCCAGTCTACTTTTTAATATTGATTTGGACTTAAATTCACTCAAAAATTTTGTTTGTGAATAAGTCTATTTCAATCTTTATTGTCCAAAATACTCTTATTAGTAATATTTAATTAAAAAAAATTTAAAAACTAAGAACTCTTAAATATTAATATTAATTTTTTCTCTCTCTCTCATATCTATNTGTCCAAAATACTCTTATTAGTAATATTTAATTAAAAAAAATTTAAAAACTAAGAACTCTTAAATATTAATATTAATTTTTTCTCTCTCTCTCATATCTATTTGTATATACGTATATAGATTATGATCATATATATACATGACATAAATTGTAACACTCAAAACAAAAAATAGTAACATTCAAAACAAAAAAAAATGAATATTAACACCACAAAATATGTTTTTTAAGGGTCAATTAGAACATTTGGGGGGAATTACACTCAAATTTTCTAAGGTTTGTCAACTTNGGTCAATTAGAACATTTGGGGAGAATTATACTCAGATTTTCTAAGGTTTGTCAACGTAATCACTTAGACTCATAATATTTAAAATATTATACATAGGTTTCCTGAGGTTTGTAAGCGCATAAAACTTAGACTCCTATCATCAAATATCTGTTAGTAAATTACACCCCAAACCCCTAAAAATTGTAGACGTATAATAGTTAAATCCTTCAAGTTCAAAATGTTATATTTAGACAAAAAAATACTCAAATNCCAAACCCCTAAAAATTGTAGACGTATAATAGTTAAATCCTTCAAGTTCAAAATGTTTTATTTAGACAAAAAAATACTCAAATTCAAGATAGAATATCAGATATTTTAAATTTTATAACAAAAATTCATATTCTATTGTATCATTTATTGAAATAAAATTAAAAATAAAAAACTAATTTTTTCTTAAAAAATTGTAATTAGTATACAATTATATTATCTATTAAAATAAAACTAAAAAATCAAACAAAAGGACTAAGTCATTCATAATAGAATATGAATTTTACAACCAAAATTCATGTTATATTATGTCATTTATTAAAATAAAAATGTACTTTTTTCTTAAAAAATTATAATTAGTATACAATTATATTATCTATGAAAATAAAACTAAAAAAATTAAATAAGAGGTCAAATTGTAATGGATACAATATATTTTAAACTTTAATGAGGATAATTTGGTAGTTTAATTTGATGGTTTAAATGACCAAATTAAACTCCAATAGATAGTATAATTATATATTAATTACAATTTTTTAAGAAAAAATATATATTTTTAATTTATTTTAATAAATGTTATAATAGAATATGAATTTTAGTTCTAAAATTTAAAACATTTGATATTTTATTTTTGGTCTAACTAGAACATTTTAAACTTGAGGGGTCGAAGTATTACATGTCTACATATTTCAGGAGGTCTGAATGTAATTTACTAATTGACATTGATGAGAGGGTCTAAGTATTACAGCGTAGAGTTTTGTACAATATTTTAAATGTTAGGGGATCTGAATGATTAAGTGATAAATTTTTAGGGACCGAGTGTAATTCTCCGTAACATTTGAGCCCATAACCAGTGGGACCAAAATACCCACGATCCGACGACTAAGGCCCATGTGAGCCTAATTGAGGTGCAATCTCATACTCTCTGCTCGGAGTTCTTTCATCGAAAACTCTTTTCCTAGGGTTTTGCCGCTGCGGTACACAGTTTTTCCCTGAGGAGGTTTTGATTCGGAGAATATGGGAAGGGAAGTAGAAGAAAAGGAGAATAACAATAAGGATGATATTGATGGCACAGCAGCAACAAAGAAGATGATGAGGATATACATAGGGGGACTGGGATTGAGCGTTACAGAAAATGATTTAATCAAAACATTCTCTCCATTGGGGAAAGTGGAGTCTGCAGATATAGTTCGCACGAATGGTCGCAGCTTCGCTTACTTGGATTTTCTTCCCTCTTCCGAGAAAGCCCTTGCCAAGCTCTTTAGCACGGTACTCTCTCTTTTCCCTTTGATTCTTCGCTTTTTATCTTCTGAGATAATTAAATCAAAGTTCGGAAACATTGGCATTATGCAAACGTTCGGTATTCGAATTTTCATGTTCTTTGAATTGCTGTATTCATTTTGTTGTTGAAATGGTGGATGGGGTGGGTTGACAAAGCCTGTTTAGTTTACTTGATCATTTTTATGGTTGCTCGATAAAACTTGCTTAGCCCAGAAAATCCTAATCCCCGTTTTCAGCAATGGTGCTTGCTTTCAGGGGCGGAGCCCCTAATTTGGCAAAGTGGAGCAATTTTTAGCAATAAAAATACTAAGTGTACTTAATTCATAGGCCTAATTTAGAGGCTTAATGCAATGCTACCTTTGAATTAGCAAAAAGATTGCATTTAATGATAGCAATACATTATATCCTCAAATTAGATCCCTAAATTATGTTCAAATAACATTTCTCTTTTAAAAATAGTAAGATTAAAAAGTTTGAACTAATAATAATAATTAAAAAAAAAAAAAAAAGCAAGGGCTCCCGGGATGGTCAGATATACAAAGCGTTTTCCTGCATGTGAGAAGATGTTTCCAAAGAAAGAGGGAACATCATGTTATGAAGATGAGTTACCTTGGTAGATTAAAGACCAGATTTAGCTTGCAATGGTGTAAACCATAATGGAGGTATATACATAGTGGTGATGATGGTTTATTGGGGTGATTGCAAAAGAGGAAGGCTTTGTTTTTAGGGAGGGTTGGTTATTTTTTGGGAGTTCTAGGAGATAACGATATGTACCTCTTTGGCTGACTTTAGGTCCCTATGTTCTCATAATCTTTTGATGTCTTGTATGTAGTTTAGGTATCCTTTGCCGTGTATCATTCTGGGTGCATGTGAATATTTGTTGTATGTTTACTTTATATTTTATTGAGCCTTGTTTCATAAGTGAATCCAATAAAGGGCAACAAAAAGTGGTTCTATTTGGAACTAAGAAGCAATGCCTTATTAAATGTCAGGTCACCATTTTATGTGTGTGTTCCCGTGAAGAAAAGAGTTATAGGACAATATAGCTAAAAAGTGTTTTGGATCTTTAATTTTGTGTTCCGGTGTAAAGTGTACCATGTTTTGGAACTATCATATCAAATCCCAATTAGCTTGGATTTGCTTTTTTGGTTACTTTGTTTGGTTCTGATCCAATGAAGTATGGTTGAGGAGTATTACAACACCTAGAGATTCATTGTCAAAAGAGTTGGGAAGAATGGGCAAAAGGAAAAATGTAATTATGCACATTTGAATTATGGAACAAGTGATGATAAGGGAATATATGCTGATAGACTATAGTTTTATCCTTCTTTAAAAGTTGGAAGAGTAAACTTATTTATTCTAAAGTCCTATTTTTTTTTTTCATGTTCCCTTCCCTGGGTGTGTGTGGTGCCTTGTCTTTTATTAGTTTCTTAGCAGCTTGAAGGTTGGACATCTTTTTTCATGTGTACTAGATATTGCTGCTTATGCTTGTCATTTAACATGCAACTCTACAGTATAATGGTTGCATGTGGAAAGGAGGGAGGCTTAGACTTGAGAAGGCAAAAGAACACTATCTTCTTCGCCTGAGGCATGAGTGGGAAGAAGATGCTGAACTTGCAAATAAAGCATCTAGTTATAGTGTTGATGCAGCTGAAAACTTTAGTTCTATGGAAAAGCCAAATAAAGTCCCTAACACAGAAAAGGTGCAGCTTCGGATTTTCTTTCCCAAACTAAATAAGGTGAGGCACGCCCCCCTTCACACCCCCTGTGCACACACATGCAGGTGTACGCCCTTGGGTACTACCTTTTTTGCCCTGCATTATACTTCTAGTTGTGGAGTATGATGATGCTTTCTGTATCAGAGTTTCAACTCTTACTTGATGCTAATTCTGACCACAGCAGTACTCCTTTCTAGGTGAAATCAGTGCCTTTCAGTGGAACTGGGAAGCACAAATACAGTTTCCAACGCGTTGAAGTGCCTTCTTTCCCAATCCATTTTTGTGATTGTGAGGACCATTCTGATCCTTGTCACGTGGGCAAAGAAAAACCACCTTGTGATGGGGAAACAGGGAGTGGAGGGATAAAGGATGAAGAGATTAACATGATGAGATCAGTGATGAGCAAGCTCTTTGAGAATGATAATTGTTCGAAGGGTGCATTTAGTGATGCTGGACTGGCTAAGGAAGGGGACAATTCTTTCAACTCAGTGGATGGTGGGTTAGGTAATGAGACTGAGGAAGATCATGTGAGTGATGAAGATAACCTCATATTAAACATGGTGGCTGGGGGAGACGACAGATTGACTTTGTTCGGGAGCCATAGAAAGGAAAAAAAAACTGCAACTCAGGTGTGCTTTAATGCTTAATAGGTGCAGTGCTCTTGTGTGTTTGCACTTTTCATTTTGTGTGTGGACTGTGGAGTTTCACCTGCTTTGTTAAAACCCTGACTTTCTCTCTCTTATCGTTCTTTGGATGTGCAGGAGTTAAGATTTAATGGTCCAGAACCTTCTGAAGGTACACCAGCTTCAAAAATGCATGACAGTAAGAAAAGGAAGATTATAACCTTTAATAAGAAGGAAAAACTACATAAGAAGCAAAAACTACATCTCAGTGAAGAGAGTGATGAAATTGAAATTGTGTCTGCTATCTCCAAAACCAAGGGGACTCCGCGAACCCATCCAAACGAGTCAGCGACTGACCTACAAGGTCAAAGCATGAAATCAGGATTAGGTTCCCAGCAGTCAACTAGCAATCTTTCATGGTCACAGAAATCTAAATGGAGAGATCTGGTTGGTGACAGGGGCAGCACTACATTCCACATGTCACAAATACTACCAAGTGTTGCTATTAAAGACGAATTACCAAGATCTCATGGTCTGAATGTGCCCTACCATACTGAAGAGAAAAAACAGGAACATGTAAAGCATGGGATTTTGGAAAGCCAACCAGGCCAATCAAAAGAGCCGAAAGACCTTGCTGAAGCTCCCGCTGCTCAGTCAAAGGTGGCTGCAGGTAAATCTGCCAGAGGTGCTTCATGGCTAAAAGAATCCACATGGACACAACTGGTTGGTGATGCAAACAGATGTTCATTCAGCATAACCCAGATTTTGCCCGACTTAAGTTTACGAAACAAAGAGCCAGTACAGTCCAACAGCATGGATGCTGCAAATTCGATGGATGGTGAACATTGCAATTTAATCAAGTCAAGTGGAGATGAACCCATAGGAAATTCTTCTAAGGCTTTAGGAGTATACGCAGAACATCTTACAGTTCCGTGTGGTTCCAATGAAGAGCAGAGCCCTACTGGTGTTTATGTTGAGCAGACTAATCATGAAAAGAAATCTGAGACTGTCACAAAGAAAGTTGAGGTTTCTGGTCCAACTTTTGTGAATAACCCCATTTCAGTGCCAAAGCATTCATCAACGGCAAACTTTAAAATTGGGGAAACTTGCTCTTTCATGAGGAGCGCTGCTTCCATGAGAGAATGGATGACCGCTAAAGCCGCTCTAAGTGGTTCGCTGAAGAAAAGGACAATCAGAAATAGGTGCCTTGAGCTATAGGACTGTTTTCCAAGTGATGTTTGGAGCTAGGTGAACAGAGACTTATGAAGTGACTCCTAAAGAAGTTGGGTTTAAAGCTTGAGTTGAGTCAAGGAGATATTTGAACCAAATTTGGGTAAGATGCCTCTGGTTTCAAACTGTTAGATAGTGACAGGAGTACTTGGAAAATTGTATGTTCCTGTTCAAGTTTGTGCCCCACTTGCCAGTTGAGTTATAATTTCACAGGTCTATTAATCAATAATGTCGGTGCACTTGGCATTGTAATTCAAAACTATTAAGAATGCAACTACCAGCATCTGGCTCATATTCTTGTACTATCATTTTGAGGGATGGTTGTAAATCCTATTTTGTTTTGGCTCATCTATTTTTTCCATGGTTGGTTGTCTTGTAAAGCACAAAAGTAACGGCGACTGAGATCTTAGTAAGTCATCATTGCTGTACCTTATTTTTCGCGATTGAGCCATCTGTTAGGTATGGCTATAAGGACTTAAATGTTAAACAAAGTTGTGTTGCAAGTCATATTATTGAGCCTCAAACTGCACTGTTTGTTGTCTTGTGACCGTTAATTCAAGTGGTAAGTCTCTTCTTTTTGAAAAATGAATGGATTAGTAAAAGCACAGTATGAATGAATTTCATTCCTTAATTATACATGGTATACGCAAAACCTTCACCTAGAAATGGAAAAAGATCAAGCGAAAGAAATAATGTGCAAATGTTTTCCAGCACATTGAGGATTTTGGGATCTGTTAATGTTTGTAAACTCCGAATAATGAACTGGTGTTCAAATGGAAGGTTTTTTCCTGTCTGTCACGGGATATGGATCCTCTGGTGTATGGTAATCTGAATGAGGGAAATAGAATTTATAACTAGTCATTTACCAATATTTTATTTCATCTTAGTGCCCATTTTCAGTTCATCTGCAGTTTGCAGGCTCTCAGTCAACCTACCGGAATTCTGCATTTACCAATTCTTTCTCTTGTTATGTAATTTCTATCTACTAACCCATAAGAAGAGTGTTGATGCCAACTGATTCCAGGCTCATGTTCAGCATCTTAAATCGCGAAGCCACATAGTGTGAGCTTCCAGGGAAATCAAGATGATGGAAGTAAGGTAATCAGGTCAATTCCACCTGAGTGTTGTGTATCATCTTCACAACCAACACAGCGAGGCAGTGAAGAAAGCAAAGAAGGTGAAAGGGAAGAGGTTGACCCCGAGGAAGACATGGTTGGCATAGCCACAATATGGTTGCATCATTTGGATGTGCATGAGCTTGCCTCTAATGATGATATGGATGATGACACAATGTGATGATGGATTTGAAGTGTTGAATCCATCTTGTTGCTTATATGTGTGATCTATCATAACACAATAGAAAAGATGATGGAAGCAAAGAAGCTGTCTTACTTATGTTGGCCAGAAGGTAAGATGCATATTACTTTTTTGGATATAAAGGCTTTGTACTGATCATTACTGTTATAGTGTTATTAGTCAATATTTTCTTTGAAATTTTTTTTGCCTTGTAATAGTTATTTCACTGCCCATCTATCTGTTCTATTTTTCAGGTTAAAAAGGGACCTCATTTGTTTGTACTGCAATCAAAGAGGTCATCCTTTCAGCAGCCTGGAAGCGGTGAGGGAACATACGGCTGCTAAGAGTCATAGCAAAGTGCATCATGACAATGGTGATGATGATGAAAAAGCAGAGTTACACCTATGTCATGATTATTGTAACAGGTTTTAGTTTTTCTGCTACTTATATATATTATCTCTTTTGCTGCTCATTTCAATTAGATAAACAATCTTGTAACCTTTTGTGCATATGACAATCAGTATCTTTAATCTGTAAGAGAACTTTAGCTTGTCATCCAATATCTTCTTCATATTGTAGTATCCATCCCTTTTTTGTTCCTCAAACTTGGTCACTTATTACATTGAGACGTAAGACCATATTTTCAATTTATCTTTGCTTAACAGTTTCCTCAGTAGAATATATTGGTTTCCAAGATGCATTGTTTGACACAAGATTTTGTTTGGATGATGAGAAACTATATCAGGAATTTAGAAAATAATATGTCAGATATTCATCCTCTGAGACTCTGGACGACAGATTTCACTGGAAGGGGTCTTAATTTGTTGAATTGATGGCTGTGAATCTCGGATGAATTGGGGCTGGTAAAAGGATCGAACTTCCGATTCTTAATTGATTTGGATGTGGGTTGAATTTCTGCATTTGCCAAATAAACAGATCAGATTAGATTCTGTATCCAAGATCTGTTTATGGGCCTAAATGTATCTGCTATTATCACCAAAAACCACAACCCTCCCATGCAACTAATCTTGCCATCTCTGTTGCACTGGCCTCAAGGTCAATGTCGTGATCTCCTTTTCTTTGTCCTCTCTGTAACAAAGTATACCCGACCTGAGATTGACAGGAATGGGTATCTTCATTCTCAGGTATAGGAGTATGGTTTTGACAACTGTGCAGTCAAGAGAGCATGTGGTGAGGTTAAAGGTGATGAATAGATTAGGTGTGGAGGCCAGGCGCTCAAAGTGCAGCAGGTAATGCTTTAATTTATGAGAAATTGGCACACCAACATTTGTGGATAGTTCATTATGTCTTTATATGTTGGCTAGAATTACCTTGAATTTTCTCATTTGTTTGTGTGATGGGGGGACGTAGAAGAAATGGTTCGTAGGTTTGCTGTTTTCTTTTTGATAATCATTGGTTTAAGCCTGGATTTACTACTTTTGAAGGTTTGGGTAACAGTTCTTTATTTTGTTGGAATTTGGTGTTGAAGTTTTAGTTTTTGTTGTTTAAGTCCCAATCTGGAAAGAATTTGGTTTTCTTGATATCTATTTTCCTTTTGATTTGTAATTATTGGAGGATCTCTGCTGTTTTTGTCCTTGTGTCACAAAACATTTGTACTAAAAATTGAACTTGCTTGCATTTTGTTTGCCTTTACATTTTGGGGTTTGTGTCCACATTTGGTGGGATTTTATTGTTCCCATGTAAACTGGTTTTCTGGTGTCCATCTTTCTGCACCAATACAAATTGCAAGTCATGATACAAATCAGCCGCAAATTCAGCACTCAAAACTGAAAATATTGTGCACATAGCTGAAATTCATATCACTTAAAAATTGAAGTACCTCATTAAAATAAACAAAAATTTTAAGTTGCAGGTATCTTGTGTACCACTAAATGTTGAATAAGCTATTGAATAAAGATTTATAAAATCTTCATGATGGATCAATTGTGCGCAAATATTTTGATCACAATGTCTTACACCCTCATTTCAACCATTCACACCCTGACACCCACCAGCTGCCGTTGCCACGACCAAAAGGTCCAAAACCACAAACACCACCACCAC